ACTGGTGTCCTGTCCTTTCTTAGGGTTCTCTTCAGAGCCCCCACAAAGGATTGAAGTCTGCCTAGCATGAGGATTTGGGCTGTGGTAAATCAGTGTAAGCGTGTATTTCTGCTGTTTGAGCGCTCACGTTCGCAACACTTGGTTATACACGAAAGCGGGAGTGCTAACATCCCGCGATTCAGTGGACCCCATCACCAGGACAATCGATCCAAAAAGCTCTCTGTACAGTCATGCCCTTGAGCTGCCAGCCTAAAATCCCGGAGGAGGAGAAGGAAACGGCAGGGCTCACGTGTGTAGCCTTGGTCAACCGGAGAAAACCGAAACTCATTAATTTAAGAAAGTCCATGAATCATAAACACCAACCAAAAAAGTAACAACAGAAAGAAAACAGCTTAACTTCCCCTCTGGCTACCAAAAAGCAGCTGCCACTGTTCTGGAAGTGATTTCATAGCTTCTTTTTTTTTTTTCTCTATTTTCTGTGCACAGAGCTGTACACTGGTTGATTCCATGGTACATAGCCTTCCGTTCTCGTGAAGGCATTGAGCAACCCAAGGAACTCTGCCTCAGTCACCTCGCACAGATCTTTCTTTTCATGCTGTGCCCTGATGGATACCTACTGAGCTATAATGAAAAGAGCAGTTCAAAAAGTACCCCGTATGGATCATGGGCAGGCTGGGAGCCACCCTGTACCCGCTGGTCCAGTGGTCTTTAGACAGGAAAACTCTAGGTGCACGGCGAACCACAGCACCTCTAGGTGAGACCCAAGGGAAGACCACACAACCCACAGTGCAGGCCTGGCAGCAGGGTGTAGAGTTAGTTACACCCTTTTTGCATTCATTTTTCACAGGTAACTCCTTCCTTTATCCTCTGCGAGGATTCCTTCATGACAAGTTGGACTCAGAGGCAAGGGAATCATGAGGTCCAGATCCACCCGAGTTACCTAGTAAGATCCTGTCTCAAAATATAAAAAATAAAAACCAAACCACACCGATGAACAAAAACACAAGAAGGATTTGATAGTGTAGCTTAGCAGATGAGTGCTCACCTAGCATGCCAATAGCCTTGAGTTCTCCCCCTTAGCCATCCAAGAAAAAACAAGTTTGATTTTTCTTTAACATGCTGTAATTTGCCTCAGACCAGATGTACCCCTTTCTGGAAATGGTCCTGCTTAGGCCTGATAGCTCCAAAGGGCCCCCAAATCCTATTCATCATTATATACAACAAATTGACTCGCTTAACTATTCTGGCACCATGTGGGTGGGATTCAAGATGAGCTGAAAATTTGCTAGCCTGAAGTTCTGCCTTACTTTGAATGGTTTCAGATTAGTGCTTACTTGATAATGTTGATCGCTGATTAGTTATGCCACTAACTAATTAAGGAGTAGATATTCTGGGGCTTAAGAGATTGTTCAGGAGTTAAGAGCACCTACTGCCCTTGCAGAGAACCCTGATTCGGTACCCATATTGTAACCCAGAACAACCTGTAACTTCAGTTCCAGGGGATGGATCTGACACCGTATTCGAGGGCATCAGTCATGCATGCAAGCACTTATATAAGAAATAAATATTTTTAAAAGGAAATAGATACTCAAATATGATTTATCATCTTAGTTGAAGTTAGTAGCAGATTTTTTTATTTTGTCTGGTGGATTCATGCATTGCTTCGGAGAACAAGAGAAAACATGGTGTTAATCAAAAGCACTTGATGTTGAAGAGATGGATCCTGTGGTCAGCACACTTAAGGGTTTGCTCAAAGTATGCCTTTAGGATTGTGGAGGGGCTTGCCATCAGAGGAGTACAGTGCATTTATCTGTTTATTTTATCCTCATAAAAAAAAAACAAGTCTCTTTCCAAGAATTGGAACCTAATGCTTAATTTATCCAAGGTTGTTCCAATAGTAGGCAGCCAAACTGAAACAGAGCATAGATATGCTCAGATGGTTTCATGAGTTAGGGCTGGAACCTAAGGAACAAATTGACAATGACCTGGCTACAGGTGATGAGCAAAAACATCTTAGCTAGGGGCTGGAGAGACGGCTCAGTAGTTAAGAGGCTTATTGCTTTAGCAGAAGACCTGGATTCTGTTCCCAGCACATATTTCTTTAGTCATTTTGGACACCTATTGGCACGAGGCACACACATGGTACAATACTCCCATGCAAGCAGAACACTCAAGTAAATAAAAATTAACAACTCTCAAAAATAATAAACTATCATGTGTTTCACAGCTCTGAGACACAAACACTGGGGGCAGATATTTTACTTTGTCTTTCTGTGCTGATTCGGCCACCACAGAGAACATGCCTGACATTCTGGATCTTCTGAATTTCAATAGGATAGCACTAAAGGTACTGAGATTAGACATAGGTACTAATGAGCAGCTCTCTTGTCACCGGAAAAGGATGCACGACTTGCATTTGCTAAGGCCCACACAGAACCACAGGCTTTGTGTTAACATACTCCTTTCTTTATTTCTCCGAATAATTGTACGTTTGAGTCCATAGTTTAAAAACAGTTAAATCTGTAAATAGTAAAAAAAAATAGTAAAAATTTGGCTGCGTAGATAGCTCTACTGATAAAAATGTTGCTTTGAAAGCACAAAGAAGTGAGTTTGATCTCCAGAACCACATTAAAAAGAAAGGGGATGGGAAAGGAAAGAAGGAAGGAAAAGAAAAGAATAGAAAAAGAAATGAAAACCTAGGTATAGTGGCTGGAAAGCAGAGATAGGTATATCAATGGGCCTCATTGATCACCTGACATAGCCTATTTGGCAAGTTACAGCCAAGCATGGAACCCCTGTTTCAAACATTACAATGTACAGAGTCTAAGGATTACACACATACACATTTGTTTCTGAGCACACAGGAGCATCCACACACACACATGAACATGTAAAAAATATCAAAATTTTCAACTGTATTTAATATCCCAGTTGAACTTAGACATTCCTTCATAATGGTGATGTTCAGAATAGACCCTATGGGTGTCATAAAGATGTACCTGGAGATATTATCTAACTATCTATGGGTAATGCCTTTTTCTGCCATGACATTCTCTCTGAGTCTGGGCTTCCCACAAGCCTGCCTTCCCTCCCATCAATTCTGCTGGTTTTAGGATTATCACACAGAAAGATAAGGAGCAGTGATTGGGAAAAAAAAAAAAAAGAACTCCATGTTGGTCAACATAATTATATCATAAGAAAGTAGAATACAGAAAGAAGAGTGAGAGAATCAAAGTAAGCTTGTAAAACTACCCACCTTATTCCATTTGGTAACAGGTGGGAGTCAAGGACCTCTTGGTGTGAGTTAGAATCATGGAGAGAATCTTGGGGGTCAGCACGCTCAGGCTGAGCTCCAGATACAATACTAGTATCTTGGGTTATGTCTCGGCACTCAACTGCCATCATATTAATCCATGACCTCTGCTTGTCAGAGAAATAAATAGACCTTAAGTCATGATGGCTAGTAAACAAGTTTCTGGGCCTTCTGGAATCTTCCCTCCCATTCCCAAGAAAATACTGTGTTCATTAAAGAAGAGACCAAACCCTTCGTGTGTCATCAAGAACATGGTGTTTAACTGTGACTACACATTGGAGACACAAAGGGATTTCAAAAGCTACCAATGCCTAGTTAGGAATAAGCCCCCCCCCTTTCCCATTAGGTTCTCTCCATGATTCTAATTTATACCCAAAGTTCTTGGCTTCCACCTGTCATCGATGGGAATGAAGTGGGTAGTTTTGCAAGCTTACTTGGATTCTGTTACCTTCTTACGCTACAGCCATGTTGACCATCACAGCAATTTACCAAATAAAAACTGGACAACTTGAATTGCAATGTCACATGTTCTCTTGATCTGCTGGGACCAATTCCACATAGCCCTGCAGTCATTTGTATGCATCATAAGATTTTGGTGCAGAATAAGCTGATAGTCAAGATCCATAATAGACCTTAAGTGAGCATAAAAATTAATATCCAGTAAGCTAAATAGACATCAAATTATTTTTAAAAGGCACACCAAGGACTTAAATGAGCACTCAATGGCTGGGGGAAAACATATATGGTCAATTTTGGATGAAGTTATTTTCCAGTCAGACTTCCCAATTGCTCTTCAAACGTCCCTGAAATTTCTATTAAATGCATCATTCAGAAAGACGTTTGGTTTCTTTGATTTTCAACCTGATACTTTCTGACATTGATAAAAACAGATCACTTACTGTATCTAGACAATGTAGAGCAGCAGCAGAAGAGGTAGTGAGAAGTGTGTGTTAAGGCTGCAAAGAGGAAAAGCAACTGTTGCTACTGAAACTCAACTTTTCAGTCATCAAGTTCAGTCATCACTAGGGTGCAGAAACTGGTCCTGTCTGTAACGCAGGAGTTATCATCACTCCATGGGTTGTGACCGTTTTGGGGTCACCTAAGACCATGGGGAAACACAGATATTTACATTATGATTCTTCTTAACAGTAGCACCATTACAGTTAAGAAGCAGCAACAAAAATAATTTATGATGGGGGGTCACCACAACATGAGGAACTGTATTAAATGGTCAAAGCACTTGGAAGCTTGAGACCATCGCTATCAAGGGAAGGAACTTACCATGTACTACAGCCAAAAGAAGATAAAAACGTTTGTCTCCTCCACCATCATCTCCAACCCTGTTGTTCCAGGGGAAAATAGGCTCCTTAGCAGGGCCAGAAAATAACAGAGCAGCTCAAATCCTATCTTGGAAGGCTCTTGCTTTCCTGTTTAAAATGATATGATTATCATTGCATTCGACTTTCCAAGTTTACTCTCTAATTAGTTTATACTAACATCCGCGCCAGCTCGTCAGACTAGTGAGCCTCCCAGCATACAATTTGTGCTGCTAGATTCCTTTGACTTCTGCTATCGCTTTGCTCAGTTAGTATTTTCTTTGTTCACATCAGTGGCCGCCAACCCAGACTTCTGGATGAGCAAACATGTTATGTTTGAGATCATTGAGCCAAGGTCAGGCCCAGCTTACCTCTTTCCCGCCGAGATTGCTTCCAGGTATTCTTCCAAGAGCTGGTAGTAGCAGTGCAGCGTGGCTCCCTGTGTACAGTAGGTGTGCAGAGAGCAGGCATTGGCTAACTTCTGAAATTTGTTCTCTTTAGCATCAGCAGAACCTAGCATGAGATTTGCAGAAGTTTGTAGGGGAAGACAGGAACTTGTGATTTCTTAACTGTTACCAAATCACTTATTGGCCGCATTTCAAAATTTCGAAACTTAAATCAGAGGAAAAGTCATTTATAAAATTATTTTCATGTAACCCACACAGCATATTTTTATGAATTGATATCTACTTATGTCTATGGCTATCTTAATCAGGATTAGGGGAAACGGGTGATAAAACACAGAGAAAATACCATTTTCATGGAAAAAAGATGTAGTAAATTCTTTAAAAGCAAACACCTTTACTATAAATGTGTATCGACTTTGGAATATCTGAAACACATCTTTAGTTCTTTAACTCACAAATACTTCTACTTTCTTCCACACTTTTCTAAGGCTGCCACACTGTATAGGTGGCCAGGGGAATGCCCACTAAACCATGCCTTGGATCCTTCTACTTCATGTAGCACCTGGCATGCACTGTACGCTCAATAAGAGTTCATTCAAAACATAAAGTAAGTGTTCATTGAGTGAATGAATCAGTGAGTAGACAATGAGCATTCTAGAGGCTGGGAATTTTTCCTTCTCTGATTTGACTGGATAAAATTAGACTTGTAGCTTCCAGAGCCAGGGCTTCCTCAGGTTTCCCCTAGAAAGGTATCCACAAGACCACAATCAAGAAGGGTGGAGCTAAATCCGACCCAGAAGGAAAAATGAAATTTTGCCCAGGAACATTTGGCAATTTGACATGGTGAATAAGACCACTAGCTTCAATTTCTAATTATAAAAATATTATCACCCTCAGAAAGTGATTCTATTTTTTCTCATCACTAAACAAATAGTTCAGTGCCCTCAGCTGTTATTCAGTTTTGAATTTTACAAATGAAATACCCATGGGAGATTGTTTTCCTCTCACTATATGAGGACATACAGGATAATCAGAAATTTGCCTCTTGTCCTGTAAAGCTGACTCTTTACAGAAAGAACTTGCTGGCCTCTGGAGAAAAAAGTAAGTCTGAGTGAGATGTTTTTTCCTACAGCATCCTCTCTCACCAAGTAAAAGGAAACCACACTGAAGTGGCATTCATTTATGTGGACCACAGAAGGCCTGGTTATGAAGGAAAACCTTGCAAAAGTTACAGAATGACTTGGGTGATCTCGTTCCTAGATTGACTGACCTCTGAGGATCAGTCCCTGAGGAATTAAAGATCTGGCCATGGCTGGGGAGAGCTTTCCAGGACCCAGGACAACAGGGAACATAGACAGCTCAGGCATTTGTGACATGACCAGACATTTTTTTTTAAAGAATGTAAATGTTTATTTTAGCTCACAGCCTAAGAAATTATACAGTCCATCACCACCGGGAAGGCATGGACTTAGGACCAGTAAAACCTCAGAAATCAAAGCTTCATTTGGATACCTCTCACTTTCTTGATTCCTCCTAAAACATTGTTCAGAGGTTCCAGCAAAGTATTATGGTGCACACTTGTAATTTGAGCACTTGGAAAGTAGAGGCAGGAGAATGAGCACACATTGGAAAACAGTTTGATCTCTGTAGTGGGTTCCAGGTAAGTGAAGCCCTCACAGTGAGATCCTATTTCCAAAAACCAACATGCTAAACCTAGCAGCACCAACAGAAAAACAGTAGGTAGGGTGGCTGAGCAGGGCATCTTGAACTAGATAGAAGATGTGCCTCTTGTGGTCTGTGTTCCAAGTTTTGAAAATACCAATTAATTATAAAACAATTAATTGGAATCTTATAAAACATGATTATGAGCGCGTGCACACACACACACGCTTTATGTGCCAGGGAAATGAATAAAGTCTTCTGTTATTGTTCCCAATCAATGATGAAAATGAGAAGAGAATCGACATGAGGGCAGGTAGGACCCTGCAAAGAACTTCCATCTAACACACAGAGTGGTCACCTGACCCTGCCCTCTGGTTGAGCCCAAGAGTGAGCATTGGTAACTGCTGAAAATTCTTTGCATTCCCTAACTGCCCTGGCCTGGCCTGCAAGGTATAAAGCTATCGGGGACCAAGCCACTTAAGCCTTGACTCATTCCCAGTCTCAGTGGTTGTTTTCCATTTGTACACTCATCCCTCACTTCAACTCTTAGCTCACAGCGTTCATCTCTACAACTTCTCAGTGCTCATTAGGAACTGATGGGCTCTCTGGAAAACCAAGTTAGCCAAAGGCACTCTTCTATGTGAGGCGATAGAGTTCCAAATCAGAGAACAGAGCTAGGTAAGCGGAAGGATGGCTAAATGACAGGTGTACTTGACCATATGGATGAGAAGTAGGGTAACCTTTGTAAGGACATACATTAGTGCATTTGACTGTGATGGAGGAGCCTGTCTCCTTCCAATTAGTATAGCTGCACAGACACAGAGAAAGCAAGATCCCCACAATTCTCTAAGTTTTTTTGAGTCTTAGAGCTAAAATCTAATTATCTGAAAAAGCTGAAAACTTCCTCCCAGTTCTCATTATTTTCTTTATTTCCTTAAGTCAGACTCTTCCAAATACTGACCTGTGTTCCCACAAGTAACCACAGCCTTTAAGAGCTCAAAATGGGTCCTCAAAACTTCTGAGGAAAGGAACTGAAACTAAAGGGCAAGGGTTTAATAGTGGGAAAGTAGGTATTAGGACTCTCGCCACTCACGCACTGCTCTGGTGTGTTTCAAAGTTTCTCTTCATGAATGCCCCAAATGAAAAGCTGGCTGGCATCAAGTGTTCTGTCACTGTTTTGAGGAAAGGCTGTTTATGAGCTTTCCATGTCTTCCAACCACTGTCCTGTCCTTACTTCCTAGCTCCTTTATAAAAGTCTCATCATAATCACCCAGTTTGTCTGCATTCATATACAAAAAATTTAAGATTTAACATTTAATATATTAGTGTGTGTGTGTGTGTGTGTGTGTGTGTGTGTGTGTGTGCGCGCGCGCGCGCGCGCGCATGCACCATGGTTTACATGCCGAAGTTAGAGGATAGCTTTTATAGGTTGCTTGTTTCCTTCTACAGTGTGGATTCCAGGGTTCAAACTCCTGTCGTCAGGCTTGGCAGCAAGTACCTTTACTCACTGAGACATCTTGATGGCTCTATAGATAGATACTTTATTTTTTTACCTTTGTCTGTACAATGTGTATGTGTGCATGCATGTTTGTGTGTGTGTCTGAATAAGATCATATTCATACCACCATTCATATATGGAAGTTATATGACAACCTTGAGTGTTGGTCCTCATTTTCCACTTTTGTCTGGTACAGAGTTTCTTTGACTTTAGTCTTGCTAGCATATGAGCTTCCGGAGATTTTCCTATCTCCACCTTTTATCTCCTTGCAAGAAGTCTGAGATTACAGATACTTAGGCCACTGTGTCATGCTTTTACATAGGTTCTAGTGGTTTCAACTCAGGTTCTCATGTTACCGTGGCAAGTGCTTTTACCCACTGAACGGTATCTCCAGCCCTCACTACCACCATCCAGTTCCTTTCTCTAGTGATGGGCTAGATATTTTTATGCTCTTCCAGGTCCACTAAAGAAAACTGAGACATGTAGAAGTATTCCCAATCTAAATGTATTTGCCAATCAGAGAAGCATTAGAGGGTGTCTATGCACGACAATACCACCCTCTCTCCAAGTATGCCCTCCACCATAACATCTACAATACGACAAATAGACCGTCAGGCAGTTAGTCTGTGAGTAAGGTGGGAAACTCAGTAGATTCAAAGAAAAGGAAGCAGTTTCTAAATGTAGAAGCTATATGGAAACTATACAGAAAGGAATAGTGGATCATTCCATAGACAGGATGAATTGGGTCTGCTCTGGAGCAAGTGGGCTGCAAAGAGAAATAAAACAGGGAAAGATGCTGCTGTGTGTCTCAACAAAGGGGAGGACCAATGATTAGAAGTTTGGGATCAGAGTGTACTTAGAAGTCCTGGTAAGTTGTAAGACTCACAGTAAGAGGAAATGGTTACTTGACAGCCCATTTGAGTCTGAGAGTGGAAGCAGAGAAGGACCAAGATTCCTCCTCTGGTTTGTGTTAAGCCCCAGAATATCATGGCGCAGGCAGATGCAGAGAAAGAGTGAAAGGTTTCTGGAAGATTCAATTTCATATCAAGTCAGGTCAGGGGACCTGTGGATGCCAGCAAGGGCTGAGGGCCACAGCAAACAGCGGCTTGACGAAGCAAGACTATTCTGTAGCTTGTTGTTGTGTCTGAAATCACATGGAAATTCTTTATAGCTTATTACATTTTAATGACCAGCCTTCATTATCAGTGAGTAAAGGGAGGAGGAAATAATGTCTGTCTAGAGTTGAGAGGCAGCAACCACAAGTAGAGCCCAGGGGGCTCAGTGGTCACAGGCCAGTGCCAAGGCTCCAGCAATAGGAGGCCATGTGACCTGCAGTTCCGAGGGACCTTTACGCCTGAACTTGATCCTATTAGCCAGACTGTTTCCCTGAGACTCTACTCATGTTAGGTGCTTGTAAGCCATGCCTCCTCTTCCTCTCACTGCCCCCTGATGGAGGCATTCCTTTTGGTTATATGGCCCTGAGTCCTCACAGTAATTTCCTGTACCAAAGGCACAAAATATTTCACAGGGGATTTTTGATGTGCCACTAAGCTCTAGATGACAAGGACAAGAGGTGTTGAGTAAGGACTTCCCTGGGAACCAAGATGTGTGACTTTTGCTTTTTGCCTTCTCCATCAGAAGATACATTTGGGGGTCAACATTGTTGCAGATTGTTTGCAGAAGGTTGCTCGCAGATGGGAAGTGCTGGCTTCAGGGACAGGAACACATTCATGAACACTTGCATATGAAACTGAGCACTGAGTGGAAAAGTCTTCACCAGAGAAAAGAAGCCCTTCTGGTCAGCTGACTCCTGCCGGCTGCTCCTTTGGGTTATGATACTGTTGAAGTTCTGGGTACACTCACAGACACACCAGCCACAACAAATCA